ACCATATTGAGACAAGACAAGCTCTCCTTGCGTAGCAAGACAAAACAACTACTGTCCGTGTGCAGGGCGCTGCCCTTTGATCCTTAGGGAATAAACTGGTCATACACCTCCTAACAAGGAGCATTTCCTTGTGGGTGTATCGGCTCACCCCTACCCCCCTCCCCCCTACCCCCCCAAAGGGTCCTTATGACTAAACACATGTACCCGAGCCCCTTCTTTCGCGAGACTTGTCCCTCTAAGTTCTTTACCCGAGAGCCTTAATTACTTGTTCTGCATGAAAATATGGCGAACCTGGAAATCTCTGATCGAAACCTCTTAAAGACCTTACAGCCCTTGGAACCGAACATCCCTAGACACCCACAACAACACCCGAAAATCCTAGAACTTGAAAACCCCCACATCCCCGAACTCCGCCGACTCAGGCGACCCCGGCGCCGACCACTTGGCCAACCTCCTGCTGCCCAAACTCCAGGAATCCTGTCCTGTCTCAATCGCAGTTGTCTCTGTGGTTAACCATGTTCAAGAAATATGTCCAAGGGTCCCACCAAGATTGGAAACTCAGATGGACTACAGTGGGGACTGCAGGTAGGATGTAGGGGTCGTTGCACAGCGGTCGATTTTGCAACGTGGAGTCGTTCAATGGCATAGCCAGTCAGCTTGTACCAGAACCGGACCCTGCATGGGTTGGGCTGTCGCAGTGTGGGGAGAACGCTTTCATGAGAACCTGGTTGTGGGTTGAAGGGTTGAGGGTTTCGTGTGGGCTAGCATGTACCTGGACCCTAAGGAACCTACCTTTTTTGGGCCCCCTAGTAGGATTTCCTTATATAAGTCCCTAAAAAGGTAAGTTATTTGGGGTTAAGGTATCTCTTGGGGGTATCCCACATGCGGCACATGCGGAAACACGAGGTTTGCTGCTTACAAGGACTGGAGTTTGGAGGCCTGTGAGGTTTTGGGAGATGCCCAGAGCTTTCAAAACCCCTTAATTAAGGAATATTTCTTAAATCATATTGGAGATCCTACTATAATTTAAGGTATGTTCCTTAATTCAGGGGATTTTGGAGTCTCTGGGTGGGATACTGCCCCAAATCATAATAATGACTGCTACTATAGAAACCCTACATTCTACCATACAGGTACTTAGGACCCCTTGGGTTGGGAAATGAGCGCTACAGGAACGTCCGCCGCCTGCACCTCGGAGCGGTAGTTCAGCGCCTGGAGCAGATGAAGAGCTCCGAGTCCGTCCTCTACGTCATGTGCCTCTTGGGGGGTTTGGGGGGTTTGAGGGTTTAGGGGTTTGGGGGGTTTGGGGGGTTTGGGGGTTTGGTGGTTTGGGGGTTTAGGGTTTGGGGGTTTGGGAGTTTGGGGTTTTGGGGGTTTGGGGGTTGAGGGTTTGGGGGTTTGGGGTTTGGGGGTTTGGGGGTTTGGGGGTTGAGGGTTTGGGGCTTTGGGGTTTGGGGGTTTGGGGGCTTAGGGGGTTTAGGGTTTGGGGGTTTGGGGGTTTAGGGGTTTGGGGGTTTGGGGGTTTGGGGGTTTAGGTTTTGGGGGCTTAGGGGTTTAGGGTTTGGGGGTTTGGGGTTTATTGAATCTTGCTTGGAGAGTCGGGGGACGTAGCAAGTACATGTATATAGGCATTTTTAGAAAGACATTAAAACATCATGATCCAATTACTTATCGGCTAGGCCTACTTAGACTGCCTACCTAATTACCAGGTCCTCCACCCTCCAAATATAAGGTTCGAAAAAATGGTAGCACCATCCTCGCACAGACTTTGTGCTTCTACTAACCATCAGGGAGTACCAAAGCCTATTCTGGTCATTGCGGCTTCCTTATTGGGCAGTCTGAATCCACCCCCGAAGTTCAAGACCTGAATGCTCGAAACCCCTAAATCAAACCTCAAATCTCAACGTTAGACTGATTCCTCAAACCAACAGCTGTGGAACTTTATTCGGCGAAGGCTAGCTCTATCTAGTTTCCTACACATGTTTAGGGCTCGGGATTTGCGGACGGGACTTCAGGGCTCAGGATTGATTGGTTTGGGCTCGTTTGGGATTTGGGTCAGTTGACGGGGTTGCTTAAACCATATAGCCATATAGGTCCCCAAGGAGAGGCAAAAGAAAGCAAAGTACATGGGGACCAACCAGCGTGCGGAGTGGCTTCACGCCGAGTTTCCAACATAGAGGTTCGTCTTAATTGGTCCTCATGGTACGGATCGCATGAGACACGGTTTCAAACTAGGTCCACCCATTTTCCGAACAAGGCACTCGTGTTTTGTTGCAAGATGGGCTGTCATATAGACCCGATTCTAGACAGTAAGATGTTCATATGAGGCATTCTTTAGGTAGTATCGGGCGCGCCGTGAGACCCTATAACTGCTCTGGAGCAAAGCACTGCACTAAGGAGGGTTTCTGCTGGGTGGTCAATCCCTGAAGTATAAGTATCGGCCTCTTGATCATAGCGCCTTTCATTTGCGAGTGACATAGGTGTAGGGTTCTGTTGAGGTGATACACCGTGGCTCCTGTAGATACAGGGTTATGGGTTTCGGTTTAAGGTTCAGTGCTTTTGATTAGCTTTGCAGTAGTGAAAGTAGTAGCCACAAACTCTGAACAGCCTTGCCATGCAGGTGCCCCGACAACTACAATCCAACTGACCAGTGCTTTGCCAAAGCACATGGGAGTTTCCCAAAATTAGGGGTACCTTATTTGGGGGGGGTCCTTATAATCGGGATCCTACTATTTAGGGTACTAGACTAGGGTCCCCTCTTTTCGGAAACTCCCACGTGGTTCATGCTGGCTTGACAGTTTAGTTTGTTGGTTCAACCGGATCCTCTGAGCTTCAAGGGTAGATAGGGGCCGTAAGCCTTGGGATAGAGTTCTGTCCGGGTTCAGCAAGAGCTCCTTTAAGGAACCTATGAGGGTCGCTATACGAGTTTAGTGCAAGGCCTGAATCATCGGGATATAGCCGGTATACTGTGGTAACCATGACGTAACTTACCGCAACCAGGGACAGAAGGGGATTGTATTGCCCAATGCTTGTGGGGTTTCGTAACGAGGCAATCCGCAGAAATTGGCGAAAGCAGCTCCAATCGCATGAGGATCCAGACTGACTTACAGTATCGTTCTATATGTATGTATGTATGTATATATATATATATATATATATAGTCCTCAACGTGACAAGTAATCCTAAGCCCGAAACCCCAAGCCCATATACTATATACAGCTCTTGGGCTGTAGATGACTCCGAAGATAGACTGTTACAGGGGGCGGAGGCAGTAGTATAGGAGCCTTAACCATTACCCATACTATTTCGGGGGTTCCTTATTATCATCATAGTACAGTATACAGAATATACCCCAAAACCCTATTCTAATCATTAAGGCCCCTTATGCGTAAAACCCTCATAGAGCCCTTATAGAACCCTCAAAGGACCCTTTTGAAGGAACCCTGTTGAAATTATTAAGGCCCCACCTCTAGCACTATCATCCCCTTAACCCCGCAAAGACCCCACTTGCCAAGGCAGGTTTAGTCGGAGGTTCGGGCTTGGGGTTATAGGGTTCAGTATTGTTGATGAAATGAATCCTGCATTACCTTAAGGACCCGAAACTATGGGAAGCATGATATATTCCTTATGATGGGTAATGCAGGATTTGTATCATCAACCGTAGTAGTTCCTTTTCGGGGTTCATATCTAGAATCCTATAAGGTAATCCCAAAAAAGCAACTACTATGGAGTCTATGGGTATGGCGTACCTATCATCACTTGGAGGGTCGGGGGACTTAGTAAGTAGGTCATAAGTAGACTTATAAGTACCCTAAAAGGGATCCTAATTGGGGTTGTGGTACTTATAAGTCTCTAAAACAACTACTTACTAAGTCCCCCGACCCTCCAAGCAACCGTAGTACGCAGGGGTTCAGGATCCTTCTTTTGGTTTGCGGCTTTGGGGCTTTGAGGTCGGCGGTGTCAGACGGAGGGTTTGAGTTTTGATATACGGCCTCAAAGGTTTAGGGTTTCGGGGTTTAGGGTTTAGGGGTCTAGGGTTTACGGGTCTAGGGTTTAGGGGTTTAGCGGTTTAGGGTTTAGGAAAGGTTTCAGGAGGGTTTATTGCTGAAATTTGATAGTAAGGATTTTAGTTATGAAGGTCTCTGTAATATTCTATACGGAGAGTCTCTGTTGAGGCTTCAGCATTTCGGTCTCGTGTATAGGTCCGGACACTTCTAGTAGAGTTCTAAGTCCCCCTTCTAGAATCAGATTTCCAAATTCTCGTGTGTTGGAGTGCGTGTGACAGTCCCAGGATTTGTTGAGACGAGGCTTGCGGTTGTGCCAGTCTTGCGCGCTGGATTCGAAAACGTGCCATCGTGAAACCTTAGTAAAATCCCGAAGAGTCAAACCGGCAGACAATTTACCCCAGAACACATGTCTTAAGGAGTATGCTGTCTTTGTCGCGCGGGCACTGGATCGCGCTACTCGGATGTTTGTTGGGAAGTTGTCTTTTGTCAGCTTAGTGGGTAGGGCTCGGGTGTACTACTTCTTTTCCGAAAATTCCGGTATGATATGTGGTCGGAAGAATTTCGAGTATTAGTTCCGTCTTTCCCCTACAAGTATATTCTGGTCTACCTCCAAGCCCTACTCCAACTCAAGGCTCCTAATGTAGTGGCCTTTATTGATAATTGCCTATGCTGTTTTCCGGGTTCCTTATTCTATTTAGAGTAGGATATACCCCAAAACCCCATTCTAATAGCGAAAACTCGAACACGCTGCTGGCGTGGCTCAAGGGAAAATTGTCGAATGAGTTCTCCGTGGTTGGGTGTGGGGTGGTTTGGTGTGCCCTCTGCCCGACCCGGTCATCCTCTTCGTCCTGGCCCCTTTTTGCAAGCCTCCTTTCCGGGTGTTCAGGGAGTTAGGGGTTTGGGGGTAGTTCGTTCAGGGGTTCGGGGCTATAGGAGGAGGGGATAGGCTCGAGGCCCAAGGTAGGGTCTGGGGTAGTCTAAGTTTTGTGGGTGATGAGCCCAAAGTCCATGGAAACCCCGCGCGAACTTCGTGTTGATGAACAGGTTCTAGAACCGACGTACGAAGGTGCGTTGGCTCTCGGACCTTCAGGACGTCCTGCAGCCTCAACCGTCTTGGAGGCTATGGATGTAGTGGAGACTGTTGGAGAGGGTCCTGGGGCTGAAGAGGCCGCAGTGGCGGCGGATGAACCAGCAGCTGGATCGCCGATGAGACTTTCAACCTCGCTCTCATCGATGGAGAGAGGAAGGACAGCGGCCAGGGATGGACGACGACGAGCGCCGAGCACTGCCTCGGGGGGCACGACTGATGCCAGGTTGGACAGACTGACAGGTCTGGTGGAAGCGATGCTGGTGCGAATGGATGACGACCGACGAAGCCATGTGTCGCACACCACTCGTGCGAGCAGAGCATCAACCGCCAGGATGCCGGAGCCACTGGGCTCTTGGGGTGGTTTTGGGATTGGGTTTCGGGGCTTTCCTGGAACGCAAGGGCCATTTCCGTCTCAGCCGTCCTGGGTTCCCGCAGGGTGGATTCCGAACGTGGCTCCCGGATATGAGATTCCGGCATTAGCCGCATCCGCGGGTCCTGCTACCGCTGCAGAACCGCTCTCGCAATCAGGTGCAGTGCATACTCAGGTTCTAGGTGCTGCAGGTTTTCCGCGTGCCGCGGATGCTCAGGTCCCAGGTGCCACAGGTTTTCCTCCAGGTGCAGTGAATGCTCAGGTCAAAGGTGCCGCAGGTTTTCCTCCAGGTGCAGTGCATGCTCAGGTCCCAGGTGCCGCAGGTTTTCCGCCCAGTGCAGAGAATGCTCAGGTCCCAGGTGCCACAGGTTTTCCGCCCGGTGCAGAGAATGCTCAGGTCCCAGGTGCCGCAGGTTTTCCTCCAGGTGCAGTGAATGCTCAGGTCCCAGGTGCCGCAGGTTTTCCGCCAGGTGCAGAGAACACTCCTGTCTCCAGTGCCACAGGTTTTCCGTCAGGTGCAGAGAACGCTCAGGCCTCCAGTGCCGCAGGTTTTCCACCAGGTGCAGAGAACGCTCGGGTCTCCAGTGTCACAGGTTTTCCGCCGGGTGTCTTAAGGGCACAGGTACAAGGTCAAGCCAGTCCATATGGAGACGTTTTTAATGCACAAGTGTCAAGTGTTGCAAGCTGTCAAGCCGTGAGTGCTCCCAATCCTCAGGTGTCCGAAGCTTCTTACTTTCAAATGCCGAGCGCCTCAGCTCCTCAGGCTTCGCCCGTTGGGTTTGATTCTCAGGTACTGCCAGGTGCAGAAGGTCCTCAGGCAACAGAGTCTTCTGCTTGGCCCCTTCAACCCCAAGGATCACATGCCACGGCTGGTTTTGGAGTTCAGACGCCAAGTTTTTCCCCTTGGGTTAAGGCAACCATGAGGATTCCATCTCAACCTGGGGTTCCTTCTGTCTATGGGGATGCCGATACCCGCCCAGAGGTTAGGTCACAAGGTTCCTTTGTGTCTGCTGACTCAGGTCCAAAGCAGTTTTTCATAGGGGATTCTCCGGGCGACCTTCCCCCCGGCCTAGGCCCGATCTTGACACCAGCTCCAGTGGCGCCTAGCCGACTTGAAGCAGAACGTTGCGTGACCAAAGTCAAACCGAGGATTGTCTATCCCTTCTCTCCGGAAGGTTCTGAGATTAGGCCTCCTACAAGCACTCCTCCTAGGACCCCACCGCCGGTTCTGAGGTTTCGGTCCCCGTCGCCGCCCAGAGATCCTCCCGCAGTGATCCCTCTTTGCGGCAATGAAGGTGCACGGTTCTCCGAAGTGTTTCGCCCCAGTCCCCCTTCGGCTGGGTTTGTTTTCCCGCCTCCTCCGGCGGTGCAACCTCCTTCTCGATCTGAGGAACCAAGCAGTACGTGCAGGCATTGCCAAAGCTTGAGGATTACACCCCGGATCAAGGGGCTGTGATCTTAGGTGACTGGTTGGTTACCATCACCCCTGTGATAGGTTCCCTTACCCCTGGCGCGGCCACTTGGTTCAAAGACCATCTTGACCCGGGTCAGTGAGCATTATGCTTCTTGGTTGGCCAGTGACCCCGTCACTCGACTTACGATTCGGACTCAGGCAATCGCTGACGGTGCCGTCGCCTCTGCGCAGCCTGGCACTTCGTTGCTGGAGCAGCGGCTCACCACACTCCTTGTGGATGCAGTTCCGAGTGCAATGAAAACTGAGGTGATCACTGTCAGAGCCCTTACCACCGTTGAAATCCTGTTTCTTTTGCATACACGCTACCAGCCAGCAGGCCAGGCAGAGAAGGCTTCCATACTTCAGTTCTTGGTGAGCCCGGATCCACCGAAGGATGCACAAGCTGCTGTGAAAAGCCTTCGTCGATGGCTGCGTTGGCTGGCACGCTCCACTGAGTTGCAGCTTGCCCCTCCAGATGCCTCTTTGCTGGTTAAAGCCGTTGACAAATTGGGATCTGCCTACCTCTCGGACCCTTCCGCTGTGTTCAGGGTTCAAGCCTTTCGATTGCAGCATAGCGTGGACCACCTGCCTAGTCAGGACTCCTCGGTGTCGCTAGCTCAGCTCTACCTTGCAGAGTTGGAAACGCTGCTTTTGGTTGCCCCGGACCCCAAAAAGCAAAGGGTTGCCGCTCTAGACTCCTCGGCCGCTGACAAGCCGGAGGAGACCAAAGGCAAAGGCAAGGGCCGAGAGAAGGGCGCGAAACCCAATGAGGGAGGCGAGAAAGAGGTGTGTCGTCAGTTCTCTTCCGAGAAGGGGTGTCCCAGAGGCAATACCTGCAAGTATGTGCATCAAACCCATACCGGGATGACTGGTCGGTGCTTCAATTGTGGAGGCAAGCATCTTAAGAGCGAGTGTACTTCTCCGGGTGGATATGCCGTCGCCAAGGCCAAGGCAGAGGCTAAGGCAGACTCGAAAAGGGCTGCCCGCAAAGCCCATGTTGAGCAGCCATCTTCCAGTGCCGGCGAACCCGCCAATGAAGAAGCTGAGTCTTCTGGCCCTGCGTTGGGCCCTTCAACCGCTCAGGCCATCGGTGAGGCGGCCTCGTCTCTCAGGCAAGAGCTCCTTAAGCGTAGATCCCGACCCCCGAGCCGGAGATGAATCTCAGTCTTCGGGCGCACCCTTTGCGTCCACAGGCAAAGGCCTCATCGACGGCGGGGCTACGTGCTGTTTGCGTGCAGCAAAGAATGCTTTTGAGTGGAATGAGGCCACCCCGACTTCCATTAAATTAGCTGTGGGAGAGGTCAATGCTTGAGTGTCCCCAGCCGGCACCCTCTTGATGCCTCCCGGGTCTCTGTGCGACCCCATCGTTGCTCTGCATGAGTTGGTACGGATCGGCTACCGCATGACCTTTTTGTCGGTAAACAAGGTGCGCATCTGGAAACCTGGTCAGCCCGATCTGTCCTTGGATTGCTCAACCGGGTGCCCTGAGATTACTCCCAACCAGGCGTGTCAACTGATCACCGAGATTGAGCACTCTAAACGGGTGACTCAAGCGCGAGTGTCGCGCCTCACCCAGCTGCAGACCTCCTCGTTTGAGGAAGCCTTGCAAGAATTTTTGGGGTGATAGGACTGCTTCGTGGTTTAGAGGTTTGGTTCCCTCAATCCCGGAGAGGCTGCTGCCTTCCCTGGCTGTGAGGCCTTGCACCAAGGCTGTGCCGTCGAACCGCCGTCGCCGACGGACCTTGTCTCGGGCCAACCACCTTGTGATCCACCTGTTCCCAGGTCAATCGCGAGGCCTCTATCTCAGCTGGGATGTGTTGGAGGTTGATGTAGAGGAAGATCTCCTACGAGAGGACACTTTCGGTTACCTCATGCATCTTGCTCAAGCCGGGAGGATCCGAGCTGTGATTGGCGGCCCTCCCTACCGTACCTTCAGTACGCCTCTCACCACTTCAGCCCTGGTTCCCCTCCGGTTCGTGGGGTCGGTGATGAAGCATGGGGCTTGACGAGCTTGAGTGCTGCGGCCCAAGCCACTGTTGATCAAGACAGTGTTCTATTTCTGCGCATGTTCCTCTTGACCTCGGTGGCCCGTCGTGTCAACCGAACATCTTCGAGCCGGGGTTCCTCAGACATGTCCGGTCCTGAACCTTTTTGCTTTGGAATGGAACAGCCAGAAGACCCGGCCCAAGTCCTTGATTCGCCGGTTGACTCGGAGGGAAGGTCATTCCCCTCTTGCTTCCGTTGGTCTGCTTTTGAGGAGTGGAGCCAGGTTGAAGGTACCACCCTCCTCTCGTTTGACCAAGGCCCACTTGGACATGTACATCGCCAGCCCACCACACTTGCTCTTGTTGGTCCGGGTTGGTCGTTACAACCCGGATCGCGTGTCCTCCCCGCCAGATGCTTTACAGCCTGTGAGTGATGCTAAATGGGCCGCGGGTCTGTGCCAAGCTGTTGTGGCCTTTGTGGGTTTTCAAGCTGCTCTCCTTCGCGAGAGTCCACGCTCCCATGCACGATCCCGGTCGATGGTACCCGGGTCGCCCCCTGACTCAGGCGCAAGAGGCTCAATGGGCGCAACACTTGGCTCAGGATCACCTGCCTCGACGACGGGACTGTTTCCATTGCCTTGCCGGGGAATTCTCTCAAAAGCCTCACCGAAGGATCCCGGTCCCACAGGCTTTCACTTTGGGTCTAGACCTCATAGGTCCCTTAGTACCTGCTGACAACGAGGACGGGGACAAAATCTGTTGGGGTTTGATTGGGGTGTATACCTTCCCAAAGATAGTAGCTCCCGAGCTGCTCAAGTCGAGGGACCACATCACCTCCTCGTCCGGCTCTGCGCCAAAACCTGTTTCCCTCTCTGCCCGAGCTGCCTCTTCCAGAGGCGAGAGGGCTTCTGCTCCCGAACCGTTTGACCCTTCAGATTACGAGCCTTCCGAGCCTGACCCGGTGGGCCCCCTCCTGGCGAGGACTTGAGCCTGCTCGAATCTCCGGCGTTAGAGTTCAGCTTCGAGAGTTTGTTCGGTGACGATTGCGAGGTCGATGATGACCTCCTTCCTGGCATTGAAGTACCGGATGTTCCAGGTTCCGAGGACCCTCTTAGTGCCTCGCAAGTTGCTGAAGCAGATGCAGAAAACAAAGAATGGTTAGACCAGTTCGCCGCCCTTGAAGACGCTTGGAAAGATGCTCCACTCCCTGCAGTTCCCATGCAGGACATTCCTTTCTTTGTGCCTCTTGAGACCAAAGGGGGAAAAGGGGTCGCAGCTGCCGTCATGCAAGTGGTCACTCAAATCAAGGCCCTTGGTCTGCCAGTGCATCGCCTTCATAGTGACCGTGGTCGTGAATTTCGAAATGCCGCGTTGGCTCAATTCACCAAGTTTCATTGTATCCCTCACACTACCACTTGTGGGGATGACTTTAAGGCCAACGGCCGTACTGAGAACATGGTTCGCTTGATCAAACGTGCCACCCGCACGTTGTTGCATGCTCATGACGCCCCCACGGCCGAATGGAGTTTTGCCATGCGTCATGTCACCGCCCGGTTGCGTGCGGCCGCTCTTAGTACCCTTGGCCATGCCTCTCCTAAGTTGCTTCCGTGGCACGCACGGCTGGTCTTGCGGCGGCGCACTTGGTCGCGTCTTGTCACAGGGGCTTGGGGGAGCCGGGCAATCACCGCTACCGTGCTGTGCCCCTCGCCTGATGTCCCTGGCGGCCATCTTGTCAGGACCGCAGATGGAGGTTATGTGCACTCCGATGTTTTGGTCGAAGTCGGGGACGCAGTGGAGCTCCAGGAGTTTGTTTGCCGCCCTCCGGCCACTCGTCTGCGTGATAAGAAGCCTGATCTCCGTTCGCATGCTCCGTTGCCGGCGGTGTCCGCAGTCGCCGCTCAGCGGCGAGGGGGAGGGTGTGATAGTGATAGTGCTTCGGGTTTTTCTTCAAAAACCGCCAATTGCGACGGAGGCGGAATCTCCAGTTTTTCCTCAGAAACGGACAATTCCGCCAAGGGCCAACCCACAGCCAATTGCACCGGAGGCCCAATCTCAAGTTTTTCCGCAGAACGCTTCCGCTCCGTTCAAAGTGCAGCTGAAAGATCCTACTCAGCCGGACTCCGATCCGAGGCCAGCCTCTGATGCTGCAGTCGGTCCGTCTTGTGTGGCAACGGTTTCTCACGGACCGGGGCTCCCAGGTCCTGCCCACGTAACTGATGCTTTCGAGACCACAAGTTCGGGCGAAAATCCAGTACCACGGGTTGCAGATGAGTTGCCTCCGGGATCGCGAAGTCTTTTAGCCCCCGCAGCTAAAAAGAAGGTTTCGTTTACTTTGCCTGACGAAGCCCCTGAACCATGTCAGGTTCCAGCCACCACTTCGGTGCTGACGACCGAGACTTCCGAAGCTCTGGCGTCTGCCCTCTTGTGTCTCGCCCAGAGCTTTCTTGTGCCGCCGTGTTAGGTCTGGTTCGAGCCTCGGGACTTCGGAGTCTCAAGAGCCATCGGGCGCAAACGCTGCAAGGTGAAGCTGCCTTGTTGCAAACGTTTGGCCACTTCTGTAGCCCCTACAGCACCGGGCTTACCAAGGTCACCCGCCAGCGTCCTGAATTGGTCAAGGTGTTGTGTCGTGCCATGTCTGAGGCACACCCCAATGCAACTTTCTCAGCTGTAAGTGTGCTTGGAAATGGTCAGCAGAGGTGCCATCATGATCTTGTCAATGAAAAGGGCACCCTCAACTACTTGCTGCCACTCTCACGCTTCAAGGGTGGTGGGCTATGGATCGAAGACGAAGGTGCGGTTGAGGAAGATGCCGTCTATCGGCCAGTCCCCACGCCCCGCGGCAGAGAACTGCGCAAAGGTAAGGTTGTGCCCGTTCAGCCTGCCTTGGCCTTTGATGCCCGTCGTTTTCATGAGGTGCAAGAGTTTCAGGGTGAGAGGTGGATGTTAGTTGGGTACACCCCTAGGAGGCTAAGTTCCCTCTCTGCGGAAGACAGATCCGTCCTGGAGTCCCTTGCATTCCAGCTGCCTCCAGGTTCGGGGGAGCCTGTTGTGCCCCCCTCGATTCGAGCCCTCTTCTTTGACCAACGCATGCCGCCTGAGCTGTGCCTACCAGCTTCTGCATACGAATGTGTCGCGGCTTCCGTAGCCCTAGACAAATGCCGTGAGTCCGTCCTCCAGGCTTACGACTTCATCCAACACAACCTCAAAAGCTTAGGGAGGCAAGCGCGAGGTCGCTGCCCTTGTGCGTTCGATCGACCACCAGGTTTGCCACCTTGAGTCTGCCCTCGACCGTGCCAATGAAGATCCTCCAGAGGTGCATCCTCTCCTCCCGGGATCGGTTGAGAAAGAGCTTGCCTACTTCTATGCTGAGGATGAGGTTCCTTGTTCTAGACCTTGCGTGGTAACGGAGCAACAGCCCAGTGAGGTTCCCTCCGGTCCCACCGAGGACCCGGGTGCTCCCTTGCAGACCCGTACGGTCACCTTGTTGGAGGTTCTGTCCGAGCTTGAGCTTTGGTTGCCGAGCTGGAAGGAAGAGTACAACAGCCTTGTACTCCAACGCAAGGCAGTGCGGCCCCTTACCCAGCGCGACCTCGACCAATGGCAACGTGAAGGGTGCAAGTACCAGCTGATCCCTTCCAAGCTTGTTCACACCCTGAAGGCCCACACTGGCCACAGGAAAGCCCGATGTGTTTGTTGTGGAAATATGGAGTCTCACTCTATCTACCACAAGCATGAGTGCTATGCCGGAGGAGCTGATGCCACCACTCCCCGTGCTCTCTTGAGAATTGCGTCAGCCTACGGCTGGGCTGTGTCCTCGTTTGACTTGCGCACTGCCTTCCTGCAAAGCCGCCTCCTCACTGCCAATCGGGTACCAACTGTGGTTAAGGTTCCATGGCTGTGGAGAAAGCATGGAGTTTGCGTAGAGGAGTTCTGGCTAGTAGAAGGGGCATTGTACGGGCTATGCATTAGTCCCCGTTCTTGGTGTGAATCAAGAGATGCAACCATGGCATCTGCCACCACCTCTTTTGGCGACCTTAAGGTTACCCTAGTCCGGTTTGAGACTGACCCTAATGTTTGGTGGGTTAAAGGGGTCGACCCTTCGGGGGAGAGTACCACTCTAGGCTGTGTGGCCTGGTACATCGATGATGCCCTCATCCTCGCTGTCCCCGAGTACTCTTCTAAGGTCACCCAGTTTGTGTCAGGATTATGGTCTACCACTCCACCTGAGTACCTTGTCCCAGGCCAAGTTTTGGTCTACAACGGGTTTGAAATTGAGCAGGACGGCCCTTACTTGCGCCTGCACCAAAGTTCCTTCGCTGCAGAGCTCCTCTCGCGATACCCAGGAACAGAATGCTCTGATGTGCCAGCGTTGCCCCGCACTACTCCCTTGCAAGAGGAAGCCCGAGATCCGGCCCTTACTCGCCAATGCCAGGCTTTGTGTGGAGAGATGCTGTGGCTGGCCATCCGGACCAGACCAGATCTAAGCTTTGCGGTGTCAATGATGGCTCAGTGCATGGCAGCCAGACCTGCCGAGGCTTGGGAACGAGGGCTACAAATGAGAAAGCACCCTGGTGTAGCAATCGGTTACGGTCCGCCCTCCAAGAGCTTAGCTATTGCTTCAGCCATGAGCGATGCTTCCTTCGCTCCCGATGCTTCTCGTTCGCACCAGTGTGCTTTGACCTTCCTGGGAGGCTCTTTGATCACTTGGTCTAGTGGTCGCCAAAGCTTCATCACGCAGTCCACCTGCGAGGCAGAGTTGGTCGCTCTGGTGCAGGGTCTGCAGGACTTGGAAAGTCAACTTCCGCTCTTCCGAGAGCTTCTGTTAGGTGCCCCGCTAGAGTGCCTTCTGTTGTGTGACAACAAGGCCGCAGTCAACATTTGTCAGGCGCCTTTCGGCGCTTGGAGATCAAGACATTTACATATTCGAGCAAATGTCATTAAGGAACGCCTCACCCAAGGGTGGCTCCTCGAGCACCTTCCGGGCCTCGAGATGCTAGCGGACATAGGGACGAAGCCCTTAGGATCTGGGTTTAGGCCTACACGTGCCAGCCGAACGCATGCCCACTGTTGCCGCGGTGCTTCACTCGCACCCGACGGTCCCTGGGACAACCGAGATCCCCGCGAGACGCCTAACTGAACATCGGATCCAAACTTTGATTCGTGCTCTGGTGTTCCTTGAGTTGCTGAGCTCCCTCCCGATTGGAGAAGCTGCAATTCATCTTGAGCCTACAAGGTTTCAAGGTGCCTGCGCGACCTTGTGCGCGGCCTGGCTGTTGCAAGGGTGGTCTAAAGGAGTTCTGGGGTTCTTCGGGTTCCTTTGTCTTGGGGTCCTTGCTGTGTGGGTTTGTTGGAACTTCGGCCCTCGTACCTTTGCGGCCCTCCGTCGGATCCAAGCACCCGTGCTACCGCAGGACCCTGATGATCAAGCCGCATTGCCTGTTGCGCTGCCGGATGCCTCGCCTGAGATCGCTCCGCCTGTGCCGTACGTCTTTCGGTACACCGACGATCTGGTGCTGATGATCTCCCGATACGATGGCTCCGCTGTACCGTCTCTGCTGCAAGTGCTAATTGGAGCAGGGCAAGCCGAGACCGCCTCCGAGCTCTTTTGGCTTCTGGAGTTTGGCAAGTTTGGGAGGATGCAGTTCCTTTCCGCAAGCTACTACATCGTTGTAGCACGAACCATTCGACACGAGGAAAGGGATTCGCTCGGGACTAATCCCCTTCCATTTCTCGGAAACAACTCCAACCACTGGAGGAACTTGCACCCTTTGCCTCCCGCGGTACCTGAAGATTTCCGTCGTGCTGAGACGAGCCTGGGAACACAAGTCCCGAACGACTTTCGAGGCCGACCAACTTCAGTACAGGATGCATCCTTCAACCGATTCGACAACAACCAAGTGACCCCTCCGAGGACATATGAGGATTAGGCTGAACAGGCCTTTGATGATGAGGGGTCCCCAGCGAATTTGTTCACTCCGTCAGTACAGGATGTCCACAACAATCCAGTTCCTGATCCTGATGTGACTTCACAGTCGTCTGAATCCTTGGACGAGGAGAGCAGAGCGGTCGCTTCAGCGGCTGCGTTTTTGAGCAACCGGGGTTTTTACTTCGACGAGACGCAGTTGAGTGAACCCCAACAGCAGGAGTATTTCTCGAACATAGGGTTGTACCACTTGCAACAGTTCCGTGACCCTTGAAGTTCACTCTACATGCAATTCTCGAATTTTGCTAGCTTTACCTCTTGGGGATGCCTTACACTCGTACCAGTAGTAAGCCTCGAACGAGGCGGAGGCTGGCGAGTTGGCCGAACCGGCCAAGGGGGAGAGCGAAAACTCGAACACGCTGCTGGCGTGGCTCAAGGGAAAATTTTCGAATGAGTTCTCTGTGGTTGGGTGTGGGGTGGTTTGGTGTGCCCTCTGCCCGACACGGTCATCCTCTTCGTCCTGGCCCCTTTTTGCAAGCCTCCTTTCCGGGTGTTCAGGGAGTTAAGGGTTTGGGGGTAGTTCGTTCAGGGGTTCGGGGCTAGGAGGAGGGGATAGGCTCGAGGCCCAAGGTAGGGTCTGGGGTAGTCTAAGTTTTGTGCTAATTATTAAGGCCCTATATCCCTAAATCCCGTATAGCGCCCTCGTAGAACCCTTAAAGGCCCCTTTTAAAGGAACACTTGTTCTAATTATTATAGCACCCCTATTTACGGAGTTACTCCAAGACCCCTTACTTAAGGAATATACCTTAAATCATATTAGGATCCCTATTCTAATTTAAGATGTCTTCCTTAATTAAAGGGGTTTGGGAGTCTCTGGGTACCCGCCTCTCCTTAGCAACTGCTCTGAGTTTTGTTAGGAGATAAGTTTCTCCATGTGTATGGTGGGCCTAAGGGCTTATAGCACAAGCAAGGACTGACCCTAAACGTGGCCCCTAAATCCCATGCCGCTTTGGTCTTTAACTATAGCAGACTCTGCTTCCTGAACAACCACAGAGCCAGCCGTTTCAACCGCAAAGACAGCAACACGAAGCCCTGAAAAGAAACCCCAGAAAACAAAATCAAACCCCAAGCCCCCATTGAACTCTGAAATTATCCCTAAACCCTAAACTGGTAAATAAGCCCTAAATCTCTAAAGCCTAAACCGTAAACCCCCAAACTCCAAACCCTAGACCCTATAGATCCCTTTGGAGGACCCCTTATAGATCCCTTTGTAGGATCCCTTATATCGCCTAAACTCTGAAGCTCCTAAACCTCGTAAACTGTAGACCGTCGCCCCTAAAGCCCTAAACTTACCTTTGGTTAGTAGGGAATGGAGGAATGGGGTACAATTATAACTACTATTACTACCATTCTTCCATTCCCTACTAACCAAAGGTAAGTAAGGGATTAACGCTGCCGAAATCCCTAGGCTCCACCCGCAGATGCTGCCGTCAAACACCTTGGGGCCGCCTACTCATATTCTGAAGGGGCAGAGGCAGGAAAAAATCGTTACGGGTAACAAGCCTGCATGATTAGTTAGAGTTTTGGGTTCGTGATCATAACTACACTGCACTAAACCCTAACACCCATAAACCCTAAACCGGTTAAGCATCCCGGGAACTCATGCAAGCTGCGAGCACTGGAAGTCCGTTTTCTGCACCTCCGATTCCTCGGATGCTTCAATGAGGTGTTAGGGTTTAGGGTTTTGAAGCCCTAAATTTGCCCGAAATGCTATTCCCGACTCAAGAAGCTTCAACATCCCCTAACCGAGGACCAGTGCATACGGAACATTACCAAAGCATGGAGCATAGGAGCTCAAAGAAGTGTTGGTGGAGTCAAGTATCCTGCAAACAAAAGAAAACCCCGAAGCAGTCGGGCTTGCGGGTCTAGGGTGGGGGGGATGAAGCGTTTTGGGGTTTGGAGAGTTTCGATGAGTTTCGGGTTGACGGTTTATGGTTTGCAGGGTTTAGGTATCGTGGGATGCTGGACTCGATTCTTCCTTCCAATCTACTCTCGCATTTACGGTTCGTTGGGGCTCAGGGTTTTCATTGAGGTTCCTCTAGTCAATGCCGATGTTGGGGCTGACGAACCTTGTAACGGTCTTGTTTCGATATGAAACAAACATGTGGCCCTCAAAAAGATCCGAATTTTTGGATCCTAAACCCAACCCTTCTAGGCTGGCTTGGAGTCCTGGTCTGCTTTTGGGTTTCATGGTTTCGAGTGTAAGCAGGTTTTCTGACTACGAACCGATCGAGAGACTCCCCGAAAAGCATTCATGACGGACTACAGCATAGAGTCCGACAGCTCTAAACAGCAAGGTGCTGACATGGATGTGGGGAAGAGCAAAAAGCCTTTGCACACTGAACCCTGAAACTCATAAGTGTAAACAGCCCTGAATCTAAAGCATCTGACTCTAACGCCCAAGCATGGATCTAAACCCGAAACCCTAAATCCATCAACCAGGTCTTCTCCGAACCCTCTACCTTGACCACATCTAAACTCGTCAGTCGCAGGGCTCAAAACCCTAGATGCGCGCCGCGAGCCTACCCTAAACCAAAACATCTCAAATCTGACGGTGGAGGCTGGTTGATCCAAAGAGTGCTCCTCAGCCGGGTGTTGCGGAGCTGGCGTTCAATACCAAGGGATGGGTGCACAGCGACGTCCTGCGCCTCGGTTCGCTGATGTATGGCCCTTTAGATTTAGGGCGTAGGGTTTTGGTTTAGGGTTTCAGGGTTTGAGGGTTTAGGGTTTAGGGTTTTGGTTTCCAGTAAGTTCGGTTCAGATTTACTATTGCTCTACACCCCAAACCCTGGGCCCTTCAAGAGTTAGGAAATAGAGTACTTGGGGTCTTCGTGTTTCGATTGCAAGGCTGGTGGCTTGGGGGGTTGGTGATCAGGGCTTCAGGGGCTAGGAAGCTTTGGTAGCGGTCCTAGGTGTTTAACAGGTTTCGGCTTTGCCGCATGGCGCCGGCCATCTTGATCCGAACCCTAAACCCAAAACGCGAAGACCCTCAGCCTGAACCCAAAGCTCCCATGGTTCATGGACCCAGAGACTCCAAAACCCCCCAATAAAGGAATCTACCCTAAATTATATTAGGATCCCTAATATGATTTAAGGTGTATGCCTCAATGAAGGGTTTTTCGAGTCTCTGGGGCGAGCGAGTTTGGCTCGGTTTGGCCGGTTGGGGATGGCTGTGAAGCAAGCTTACTCTCAGCCCGGGAAGTTGCTCGTGTAAACAATCCTCCGATACGGTTGATGATATAACTTACCTGTGGTTAGTAGGGAATGGAGGAATGGGGTACAATTCTAACTACTATTACTACCATTCTTCCCTACTAACCGAAGGTAACATAAGTCCAGCTCCTGCATTATCCGTAATGAGGACTATACCATAATTCCCCATAGTTTAGGGTCCTTAAGTTAATGCCGGATTTATATCATCAACAGCGGTGTCGTTGTTCAAAGCGCCGACAAAGGAAGACCCCCATGCGCCGACATCGAGTGGTGGGGCTTTTGAGTTTCAGAATCCAGAGCCGTCTCTAGAATAGAACCCAAAGTGATAGACTCCTTCGTGCAAGATTACGATGTCCCTGATAGCGCACACCCCAAAACAAATCCAATTCTTCAGAGCCTTACCGGATGTTTACCGGAGTTGTTGTGGTACTGTTGATGGACAAAATCCTGCATGACCCTAAGGACTCTGAACTCTGAAAACTATGGTACATTCCTTACAGCGGGTAATGCAAGATTTTGTCCATCAGCAGTATCCATCGTGTGCCCTACAGAGAGACCTTCGGGTTTAGGGCCTGATCCGGCTCGAGGCTCGGAATGTATCCCCGTCCTGCACCCTAGTAGTAGAGTAGGGAAGCTTTAACCTTTTTTGGTTAGTATAGTTCCTATATAATCCCTATATAACCAAAAACAAAGGGGAAAAGGAGGTACCCTTAATGGGGACCCCTTCCCTATAATGGGCTATATGATGGTATAGAATAGCTATATTAAGGGTATATACCTAGGGGTCCTTACTAAGGGTCCCTCCTTTTACCCTTGGATCCTGCACCGAGGTGCGTTTGGGAGAACCAGCAGAAGCTCATGCTGGTACCCGACAGACAGAACCAAATTTGCGTGCCAGCAGGAAATAAGTACCGACCTCAGTTCCACTCAGGACCGCAAGACGGTAGAGGTCTCAGCATGTGGGGCCCTAAACCCTGGAAGCCCTATAAGCTTGCCTGGGATCCGATAGATCCCTGGAGGGTTCGGATTTAGAGGCTTCTCGTCTTGGGCTCTTTGTTTTGGGTGTATGGCTTGGGGCTTTTGGGGGTTGGGGTTAAAGGTCTGCCTGGTTGTTTGTGTTTTCGTGTTTGAGACGTAAGGAAAGACTTTCGCCACATTCAGATGTCAAATGGGAGATGGGCTTACAGCAGCCTTGACAAGTAGTAGTACGGCTCTCTCATAGTCTTTGCAAAGTAATACAAAGAGGTATACTACCCAAGGCATTGTTCTAAATATGTTGACGCGCTTCGGACACACAAAATCAGTTCTCGGTAATGCTTAGGTCAGTCTGTCGTGCTGGATGTCGACCCCTCCCTCGCCCCCCTACCCCCTGCCTTTTTCGCCTCTGATGGTAAGGTCTGCGGCCAGTTCCGCTTGGTTTTGAAGACTTTACTCTGAGAATATCTCATAGAACCATTTGCATTGCTCACCAGCCTCCTCCCCCTTTTCCTGTGCCCAAAGCGATCGTCAGCGACCACGTGCCTTTGGATCCCTGTAGTATAGGGGCCTTAGTACTAGTAGTCCGAATGTGGTCTGTGGGGGGTATACTATACTATATAATCATTTTAAGGAACCCTGTATCCTTAAATCCCCTATATAGCCCTTGCCATTAAAGTTTCCTTTAAAGGAACCCTGTTCTAATTAGCAAGTTTCCTATTTTCATCAACAGTCTCGGCGTCCTCGTAGAACATCAGGCTCCAAGTGCACTTCGCCTCAAGTCCTGAAGCTAACTTGTCCTCGGGTTTAGGGTCCAGGGTTTCGGGTTCAGGGTTTAGGGTTGATGATGTAAATCCTGCATGACCGTAAGGGCCATAAACTATGGGAATTATGGTATATTCCTTATGATGGGGCATGCAGGATTTATATCATCAACGGTAGTAGTGGAGTAGGTATCATTTAAATTTGTTTGGGGGGGAACTATAATCCAAATGTATATAATCCCAACTCCCACAGGTTGATCAACTTTCTGTAGTTCCCCTGGATACTCGACAAGTAGGTTGTGGCCTGGGCTTCAGGGTTTAGGGGTTTAGGGTTTGCAAGAAACTGCCCCAGACCTGGCACTTGCGTCCCTAAACCTCACACCCTTACGGTGTTACCCTATCCTTATAGGGTATAGCAAGCGGGAAACCAACCAGGAACCCTTACATGCAAGCCTGCGCACCTTTGCAGAAACTTTCTCAGGAAATTTGGAAGGAACCTGCCTTGAGCACCCATCCCTCATGGTTATAGTCGTATCGTGAACCCCTGCAACCCTGGAGACATTCTAGAAACCGTCTTTCGCGACCCTGAGACGAACCTTGACACCCTTCTTGCGGTGCCTATGGAAACCCTCAACATTACATGGAACCCAGACGGGAACCCTTAGCGCGAATCCTAAACCCTACCGTAAACCCCGGCACCCTAAACCCCAAACTGGAAATCCTGCTGTAAACCCTGGCCCCAAACTTTTGAACACACCTGCCAGGGAGTTTTCCTTCACGTTCAACGAGAGCCGTAAAACAATCGGCAGCACGATCCCTGCCACGCTACTCGGCTGCGAAGTTGGTAGTTTTGTTGCGGTGCTTGCATATGGTGTCCTAAAGTTGTTGTCGATCAGATTCTTTAGGATTGTAGGTTTGTTTAATGGTTTTATGGATTTTGAAAAGGTGCCTTCCTTGTCAAACTAGGGCGATGGGGCATGTCTTAACTGCAGGTATATTCAGAGACCCTGAGGGGTGTTACTGTTACTGCTATGTACGAGCGCCCCTGTGTCAGGGCATCCATCCTAACTGTTTCAGTTTTTTGGACACGTTCTGCTTGGTTTTTGTTTGAGTGCCCAAGGAAGGAAAACATATGTATTCGCTGTTGCCAGGGAGCCTGCAACGAGGTACTGACACGTTGGACAGTGCTATGTGAAGGTTCGTAAAAAACGGGAGCATGCATGTGGACCTTTGGGGTTAAGCCTTCCTCGCCCACTCCTCAAGACCGCCGCTTAGTTCGCCACAAGCCTGGCAAGCGGACGTCCCAGACTTTCGGACCCTGAACTCCAAAACTCTGAAGCGAACTGCCTGGCCAGCATGCCCTGGAATTCTAAAGCCAGGCGATCCTGAAGCTTCAAAGCACTGCGCCCATCAACTCAAAGCAGGCTGCAGACCTCGTAGACCAAGTCATCTTTCTTCTTGAAGTGATTTACGTGACCAACCAGAATGTGAAATTCCAAGCGCCTGCCTTCGAAGCATGACAAATCGCCCAGGATGCACATGACAAAGCCTAAAGCCGCTTGCCCGGCAAATTCAGCAATAACCGATACACACAACCCTAAACGCCCTAAAGCCCCAAACCCTTGTATAAACCCTAAACCCCCTCACCCCTAAACCCCCAAACCCTAAACCCTGAACCCTAAGCCCCGAAACCCCCAAACCCTAAACCCCCAAACCCAGCACGAACTGAAGCCGGCAGCCCTTGAGTTCCTGCATCTTCGGCCTCGATCCCTCCCTCTACGTCTTATCAAAGGGGAAAATGAGGGACCCTTAAAGGGTCCCTTTAAAGGGATCTATAGGGATTCTATAAGGGTATAGGGTTTAGGGTTTAGGGGTTTGGGGGTTTAGGGAGTTTAGGGGAAAAGGAGGGACCCTTAACGGGGACCCCTACCCTACAATGGGCTATATAATGGCTATACTAAGGGTATATACCTAGGGGTCCTTATCAAGGGTCCCTCCTTTTGCCCTTGGATCTTAATAGCCTCAGAACTTGATTTAGGGGTCGGAATAATGCGGAACAGTAGCCCTGCATAGCCCCTAGACAGCTATAGTATAGTATACTACAGTATACCCCAAACCCTAAACCCTAAACCCTAAACCCTATAGTATACCCCGAACCCTACTCAGGCCCTCTTCTGAGCATTCAGGCCCCTTCACCGGCCCGAAATGCTTCGGAACTTGAGAAACAGGAACCTGAAGCCATCTTAGACGGCGTTTAGTGTTCATACATATATATATATATATATTAATATTAATTATATGCACATAACTACGTATCTATCTATCTATATATATACATATATATACATATATATATATATATATATGTACATACACATATACTCTCATAATATTGTTGTTATTGTTGTTATCTTTCGGATCTCGCTTGGAGTCTTCACCAGGAGGTTTCAATCAGCGGTCATCTCTTCCAGGGCCCTTATCAACAGAGGTTTTCATCAGGGGGATACATTAAGACCTGCACACCTCAACGAGGCAGAGGCTAGCCTTGTTACGTAATCAGGATAATGCAAGGGCCTTAACAATTGGAATAGGGTTTTGGGGGTTTCTTCACATTTAGCTTATATTATACTCCCAAACCCATCAAGGTCCTACAGCAGTGCTTTTCAGGATTTACGGCAGGGTGCAGTAGTATTGGTTCTCGTTGGAAGCCCGGACAAGCAAGACAACCAATAAACGTGAAATCCTGAACCCTAAACCGGTATAAACCCCAAAGGCCTCAACTGGAACTCCTGCAAAAGGCCTCGAGGTTGAGGTCTTGTTTGGGGATCTTTGGAGTGTGGAGCCAAGATTGAAGATGTAGAGCTGAGTAGTTCAGCAATCATGTTTCAATTTTCAGCCGTGGGGTCCGTATTCAGTGATTTCGGATCCAGGGCGCAAGACTTGTGGTTTTGAGTTTTGCATTTCGGATGAAGATTTCAGGGGGCCAACTGCGACTGAAACTCACGCATGCACTGAGTGTTTGATGAATATGTGGGCCGCTGGACATCCATGTTGAACGGTCAGAGGGCCTGAATCCCTAGGCCACTGCAATAGAAGCCCAAAAGTTGGAAACCCAATAGCCTCAATCCTTGAGAGTCATGTATCGGGAAGCCCAGCACTATTTGGCCTTAATCAATTTTCCAACTTTATGGGGCTCCTAAACCCTAAACCCTAAACCCTAAGCCCTAAACCCTAAACCCTGAACCCTAACCTTTCGGGTTGATTAAGCCCGCCTCGGGCTTCGCCTTACAGGGCAAAAGCCCATAAGCACTACAACGCTCAAGCCGCAGAAATCCGGTAAAAAAGCCCCGAAGCTCCCAGGGTTTAGGTTTAGGGGTAATACCAGTATCCCCTTATCTAGGATGCCCAGTAGTACCCTTATTCCCTTTTTCTAGTCCTAGGTTCCTTATAAAGTTACCCAATACCAAAAAGAGAGGCCTTTTTATTCCTAGGTTACTGGGTATCCTAGATATGGTCCCTAGATATTTGTAGCATAACAATCCCCAAACCCTACTCCAAGTATTAGGGCCCCTTGTACCAAACTCAAACCCCATCGGACCTAACCCAGAGCACCCAAAGACCCCCAGTAGCGTACTTGTTGCTTTCAAGAGCTGATAAGTTCAGGGTTATGGGTGCAGGGTTAAAGGTTAAGGGCTTCGGGCTTGAGGTGTAGGGTATATATCGGTCCGTAGGTAAAGAGGAAACCACAAGCAGTCAAACAGTATGTTGCTCTACCACAGGTCTGTGTTAATTCCTGGTGGCCCAGTGTGCACCCCGAACCCTAACCGCAAGCCGTAAACTTAGCAGGTGGAAACGAAGTCACGAAAACCGCAAGCGAACCAGCGAAACAGTTGCTTGAGCACTTCGACACTCGCAGTATTACCGGGGCATGGAAGCACAATTGGGAATAGTATTCCTTGGGGTTCCCCCTTCTCTATGTGATAATTACACCCAGCCCCCTCCCGCCTCCAAAAAAAAATACGGAGTGCCAACTACGCATCAAGCCACTTCTGTTCAAGTATTTACTAAACCCAGGATTGCACTATACAGTATTCACAAAACCACATCGAAAGCCACAAAACAACACAGCAACCTAGTAGAGACATCCATGAGTTATCTAAACCCACTAACACTCGGCATGGGTTCATCACATGGGCCCGTCATCCCACAACTGTTGTTTCTGTAGGAGTTTAAGGTTTGACCTGTTGTGTCCATGTGATGTGGGGTTGACGGCTCGCCCAGGGTTTAGGGTTTTAGGGTGTAGGGTTTCAGATGTAGTTTTGGTAGAGGGCTTACGGTCTGTAGCTCATCACGTTGATGCCTTCTGTTGGCGGGAACAACGACGAAGCAGAGTGATATAGAGGACTGATTAATGACTACTAGTATCCCCTTATAACCTTTAACAAACTATGAGGGCATCATATTCCGAAAACCCTGTTCTAAACATTATAAGGCCCCTATATAAGATTGTGATGGTAGCCATTCCCTCTGTCGCGATTTGCAGATGCATGAAGGAGTTCAAAGTAGAAGAATGTGCCCCGACAGCCGTAGATGTAAATGATGGAGAAGCTCTAAACCTTGAGAGTTTTACTTCCTACGCCCTGAACCCTGTTTAAACCAGAAAGATTGCCTCCCGAAACACCCTAGCAGCTGCTTGAAAGAGCCAAGGAAAGGAAGGAGTTCCCTCTCAACACGGGCGAGCATCTGTTGGAGCCTTTCCTCATGGTCTACAATGACCCCGGATCTTAGCCGGGGCTCCGTGCTGAGCCCTGCAGAGGGCCGTGCTGCGGGGGCCGTGCCGCCGACACGCACCAAGGGACGTGTGCTCCGACTGTCCGACTGGGCGCTGCGTCCTAGCACGCGAAGCAGAATCAAGCGCACGATGCACCGGGCCTGGGCCTGAAAAGCAACAAGCTTGGGCACCTGAACCCCTAAACCCTAAACCCTCAACCCTTAAACCCCTAAACCCTATAAACCCCTAAACCCTATAAACCCCTAAACCCCTAAACCCCTAAACTCCTAAACCCTATACCCCTAAACCCTAAACTCCTAAACCCTAAATGAATCCTTGAGGCGTCCAGGCCGAAGCAACCAGAGCCCCGATACCGTGGCCTGGGCCCGGTGCACCACTTGGAGGGTCGGGGGACTTAGTAAGTAGGGCTCCTTAAAGGGATCTTTAGTGGGATCTATAAGGGGTTCTATACTGGAGGGTATGGGACTTAGTAAGTAGGTTATAAGTAGACTTATAAAGTACCCTAAAAGGAATCCTAATCGGGGTTATGGTAATAGTAAGTCTCCAAAATGACTAGTTACTAAGTCCCCCAACGCTCCAAGCAGCTTCTACCGCCGTGGATGAAGGATGGCGAAATGACAGACACCTGGTGGCGAGGTCGTGTGGAGATGGTGTATGAACCATGCCCGTCATCGGATTTCTGGAACGAGCACCGGGTGTGTTGACAGCTGTGTGCTGTCATAAGACTAAGTCATCAGCGGAGCTGATGCTGCACATTGCATGCAGTGAGCAGCCCGTAGCTCAGGCACTGGCAAAAACAACCCGGGCAAGAGCAGCAAAAAGAGCCGCGGTGGCTGCTTCGTCTGCATGATAAACAGCTTGCAGGCTGCACTCAGGGTAGAGGGTTTAGGGTCTAGGAGCTGGTGGCTATCCTGTTGCCCCGATGCATGTGGACCCGCCAGTGCCACCAACCGTTTGCGAGGTTGCATGCGACGGAGTCAGAGCCGGCAAACATGTCGAAGAAACCAGTTCGAAGAACTTCAGCGCTTGTCATGCTGTTGTCTCCACAGCTATTTTTCTACTCTTGCATTGCATGCTACGATACTCGACGCCCAGCCTCAGCCTAGATGTGTGAATAGAGTATTGTTATGAGTAGTAGTAGTGGAGTGGTAGTGGTAGTGGGAGTGGTAGTAGTGGTAGTAGTAGTAGTAGTAGTAGTAGTAGTAGTAGTAGTAGTAGTAGTAGTAGTAGTAGTAGTAGTAGTAATAATAATAGCCTTACGTAGTAGTATCGGCACGACTACTACTGCTGGTCTCTCTCTATGTATGTATTTATGAATATATATATATATATATACACATATGCAGGCGCATACTAACAAAATCGGGAATACACACATATACACACACATCTAGAAGTATATGTATATATATATATACATATATATATACGTGTACATTACTCTATGGTATCTCCCCTCATCTACGCACGTCTGTCTTTCAGGTTTCATCTTGCGTCAGGCATCGGTTTTTGGGATCGGGAGGATTGCCTGTGTCTCGTACTTTGCGTCTTCGCATTTAAGCACAAGGGCAAGATCGAGCGTATGCAAGTGGGTTCTAAGTCCATTCAATTGAACATGCTGCTGCGGATCCTCATTCCCGGTTCAAGTTGCAGGGGCAAGTCTCGAATCTTGGCGAATTAGTTGAATGCGTCTTGAATCGGTTCGACCCACGCACTGTGGTTTGAAAATTGTGTTTCGCATTTCGATCCTATCGTTCTGTTAAGAGCAAACTTTTCGTGCTTCATAGATGTGGTGTTGCCCACTGCGGAAATCCAACACTGGTAATGTTTCTTGTTTCGCTTTTTCGTTGGTATTATTAGTGTTACCATTGCTGTGTGTGGTGATGTAATATATCCACCATGCTCTGTGTGCTTGACTCTGACTCTTCACAAAACATTCCCTCATCATACAAGCGTCAGTGTCGTGATCGCGGTTTCTCAGTGTTGTTCAACAGTACGGTGGATATAGTCACCGTTCTGGCTACCTCAGTACTACCAACCCAGTCAACAACCCCGTTGCTTCATATGTCTTAGTCAACATTATTCTTGGAAAGTTGCTCCTGATGTTTGTGCGCGGTCGACCATCATTTTATGGCTTTAACTACTGCTTGCAGTAGAGAGCCCTTCTCAGCACAAGATCAGCAAATCACAACAAAGCCGAGACCTACATGACTGTTCACGGGCATCTGCTATCCGCAAATCTTCCATAATGTTGAAAAAGCGACAACTTCCCCTAGTAGTTATCCTAGTCCTAGTTGACAACAGAAGAGACGTGGCCTAGACGATGCACAAACGTCAAAATGCCGTAAACTCCGAACGACCATGTAAAGCTCAATTAATTTGGTATATAAGCCACGACACGACAAAACCGATTAGCATTTGCCAAGACCATATAACCAAGAGGGATGCAAGCTTTGATAAGGTACCACAATCTTTATCTAAAGGCAGCAGGGAAACTACACTTTGTACATTTTTTTTGCGGTAACTTGGCATAGATGAACATACTGGCAGTTTAGATATGACCAAGAGGGTGTTTGGAGATTGGATAGGCTTGAAGGGATTCGAGCACAAAACGCGGCTACATGAAGGGGCTAGCATATCTCTATACCTATATATATATATATATATATATATATATATATATATATATATATATATATATATATATACGTATACGCACACATATTATGCGCCATTGCATTTTACAAAGTACCCCTTCTCCGTTAATTCTCTGATGTCCTGGTGTTTGCTTCTATTCTATTCTGCTCTGTTGTTGCATACATGTGTATTTCTACACAGACTTATTTATATACGTATACCCCTTCTATGCATATGTATGTATGTGTGTGTATCGATATATATATATATATATATATATATATGTGTGTGTATATATATATATACATATATGTTATATATACATATGACCTGAGTTGACGGCTCCGGACCCGCTGAACCCGACGCCACGTGTGCCGTGGGCGTGGGAAAAGATCGCGATGTTGTTTTCTAAGGGGGGTGGGATGGGGTTCATTGATTTTTCTAGGGCTATAAGGCAGTTGAGGTTGAGGGTTTAGAGTGTTGGGGCTGCAGGTTCAAGCTGGAAACCCTAAACTCCAAACCTGCAACTGACAGTTCAGGTCTAGAGTCTAAAGCTTGGGCCGAGAGCTGAGGGTCCAGAGGCCAGGGCAGAAGCAGGCTTCTTGAAAGGTTTGGGTTTCAGTTTTGGATTCCGAAGAATTAGCAGTCAGAAGAGTCATTGTGACCTTGGGCTCCGGTCTTTATTGGACTTCGAGCCTGTGTGCGAGGGTGTTCGGGTCTTGCAGTTCAGGGCAGGGTGTGCAATAGTGCGACCGTTGCCATCAACTCTGAGGGTTTAGGGTCCCCTGTTCTGTTGGGCGTCTTTAGGGTTTAGGCTTTAGGGTTTGGTTTGGAGAATCTGGTGGAGAAAACCATGAAGTACCCATAACCAACGGCTGTCCTTTCTTGCCATAAAATGCGGTACCTACTAAACCTTCAAAAGTATGTATAATGATGGCCCAACACCTATAAAAGAACATAATCTTGATACTTTTGGGGTCCAGGTAGAAGAACATTGTCCAGCTGCGGGCCGCCCTCAAGTAGAATGTAGAAGCTACAGGGAGGCCCAACTAGTGGAGGTTTGATCTGCATGACCCTGACACGGCAAAACACCTACTATAGGGGCCTAATGAATGACCTGTACTATTTCGGGGGGGTTCCTTTAACGGGCTCCTCTAAGAAATCCTATAACAGTACTATACGGGTTTAATATAGGGGCCTTAATAATAGCTGCCTATATTATCTTGGGGGCTCCTTATTATGATCAAAGTATGATAATGGGCCCCTCAAAACCCTATTCTAATTATTCAGGCCCCTATATCAAACAGTTTGCTTTTGCAGGTTAAGGCCCGTGCCGCCCTGCACTCTGAACCATCAACATGCATGCCCTCTGCGGGCCCTAAAGACTTTAAACCATAAGCCGGAGAGGACCTCCGCGCACTTTGCAAGAACCCTGCTTGGAGGGTCGGGGGACTTAGTAACTGGTTATTCTTGGGACTTATAAGTACCATAACCCCAATTAGGTTCCCTTTTAGGCGACTTATAAGTCTACTTACTACCTACTTACTAAGTCCCCCGACCCTCCAAGTGTCAACCCTCCCTCCAGTCCTTCGACCGCACAAGGTTCCCTACAAGACCCACATAACTTTCAATTTCCCAAACTCCACAAGGCCCAAACATCCCAAGCCCGCAGAACTTGAAGCCCATAACCCCAGACCCCTAAACCCTAAACCCCTAGACCCCTCAACTTAACCATTAAACCCCCAACCCCATAAAACCATTCTAAACCCCGACAACTTCAGCAATCCCAGCATGCAATGGCAACATGTCGGGCGCAGGGTGGCCGGACAGATGACTCGCTCTCGCCTCGCCTCCGAGGATGCTCTCCGATAGCGGAAAAGAAGCAAGGAAGGTTTAGGGCTCCAGGGTCCCTGAACGGAAAGCGTTTAGGGTTTAGGGTAAAGGTTTTAGGGTTTAGGGTAAAGGGTTTAGGGTAAAGGGTTTAAAGGGTTTAGCATATGCTGGTCCAAAAACAGGAAGTATATTCATATGTAGACTTCAGATGCATCATGGCAATCGGCCGGCTGTACTGTGTTTCATGTTTTCCGGTGGCTTTAGCATCACATATCCTGCACACTCAGCTCCACACCCTACAGATCCTATAGTAGAACCCCAAAAGTTGGAAACCCAATAGCCCCAATCCATAAGTGTAAAGCAAAAAGGATTCCAGCACTATTTGGCCTTAATCCGGTTTCCAACTTTATGGGGTTTACTGGTAAGCCCCAAACAACAAGGTCCCAAATCTCCTGGGCTTCAATCCCTTGAGACCAATGTGGGAGTTTCCGAAAATAGGGGAGCCTATAATATAGTACCCTAAATA